TACAAAATAAATGCATTATCTAACTTACCTGTCAATTTTATATCATTTGCAGCAGCATTTGAGATCAACTGATAGAATGCTTGACAAAATGGAGTAATAATCATCTCTTTTCGTTCCTTTAGGTTGCAACAATGATCACACATTGCATTACAGTCTTGACTCTTCCATACTTCATCAAAATGTGATGCTATAATAGCACGTCTGCATCTACAATGAAATTAAAGGGCACATAAAAGTGCAGCATGTGAAACCACAAAGCATTTGTGATGTGCACACAATGTGCTTGTATGTGTGGGACAATTCAGTATAATGATCAGATACAGCTGGAAACAGACAGTCAGAAATGCATTGTTACAGTAAACTTGCTTTTCAACAGGCTGCCCTAAGCCACACAAATCCAGTCCTTGCTTTCAGATCCCATTTCTCTAAGATTTACTACAGAGTATCCTAGGTCCCCCCAAGTGATTTCTTTCCTTCAGTCTATGAGGGTGTTAAATTAGTACAAAATTAAAATCAATCCATGAAGCAGTCCTTCTTGGGAAGCTGAGCATCATTCAGCTGGTCAAAAAATGTCTTGCCTTCAATGGACTCAAATGTTAATTACTCAGTTTTCATGAAACCTATCACTGGATTATCTATCCTCAAACAATACCTTCACACTCTATTTCTTTAAGTTCCACTTTAATATTATCCTCCCATCTGTGCCTCAGGTCTCATAAGAATCTTAGTACCCGACTGTCATTCTCTCGCACATTACAAAAGCATGTGGTAATCAGTTTAAGAAAATTTTATCAATGTTGTAGTTAATTAATTTATACCATTACTTCGATGTTGATGCCATGATCTGGAATTTGTTCAGTGGAGGTAAATTTGTGTATCTCCACACCATACTGGAGATTACTAGATGATTCCTTCTGATATCTCTGATTTAACACTGCTGTAATTTGAGCTCTAATTGCTTTGTGCTCTGATGACATCTATCTGGATCCCATCATATACTGATTATATTGAATCCCAAGTATGAAGTATAGTGTCAACACTTCCAACACTGATGTTGAAAGTTTTTATCCTAATTCGTGCACACTAATATCCTTCTGTTATTCTATGTGATTGGCCTGGGAGATTGCCACACAAGTGACGACAGTTGCTGTGCGCTTTGCTGGCAAACCACCTTGACAAATTTATATCATTAAACACTGAAGACTAGAGCATTTTAAATTTCTTATAATGTGTTTGAAGGCCCTGATGAATTTCAGGCCCTTTCACACTGCCCTTACAGGCACAATTAATAATCCATGTTACACTTAGCTAAATAAATGTTACAGAGCAAAACTATTGCAGACCTAACACAAGCTGTGTTGCATATATAATGTTCAATTCAATATACCTGTATGCATCCAAACAGTATTCAACAATGTTGTACAAATTCTGTCGGCCAGTCTGTTGGGTGAACACCATAGAACTGAGTTTGAACACATCCGACAAGCGATACATCAGGATGCATTCAGCACGCAAGCCATCTCGACCCGCACGCCCACTCTCCTGCAGGCAGCAAAGATATAACAACTTGGCAAAATATATAACGTAAACAAACTCCTGATTCTGTTTGGCATCAATTAATTTACTTTAATTTACCCTTATACATGTTTTAAAACTATTTCATGTTAAATCAAAATCCAGGCAGGGTCGTCTTACTCTTATAATTGTATCAATGGATTTTGTCAATTCCATTTATTGCCGTAGCTTCACACATCAAAAATATGTCTTACAAAGCCAAGTTTGTTTGAACTCAGGGTCACAGAAATTCTTTTATGATCTGTCTGCACCAGGCAAGGATTATGTAACAGTGCCTGTCACTCCCACCTCAGAAGTTCAAAAAGCTGCCATGTCAGAATTTATGGTAGGACATAAATACCATAAGACTAAGTTTTCTTATAAAATAAGAAAAGTATGCTAAAATTGTACTGATTTTTTATGTTGTAATTCTGGTAATGTCCCCAAAAAAATAGAACACCGTTTATTCCAAAATTTGATGCTGGAAGGCAACCCAATCAAAATTTTCACATTATTCATGAAAATCAGGTAACAAACCTTTAATTTAAATACAGCATTTAATGTATCCCATATCAACACACTCAAATTACCTGATAAAAATTTTCCATTGATTTGGATAAGGAATGATGAACCACAAATCGAACATCAGGTTTGTCAATGCCCAAGCCAAATGCAATTGTAGCAACCACAGCCTGTGAAAAGAAAGAAACTGATAATTATAACATTATTATTAGCATGATGTAATGAAACTTGATTATTTTTACCCTATATTAAATGTCGCCAATAAGGGATAATCTTTCACTTGTTACACCTCTGGTACAATGTATGAAATAAACAAATAGAATGCACCTATAAAGCAATAATACAATCCCACCTGATGTTCACCACTGAGCCACTTAGCATGAACTTCACTTCGGAATTTGGCTTCTAGGTTGGCATGGTAACAACCTACTCGAAGTTTTCTCTTTCTAAGTTCATGCATCAACTGCTCACAGTCTTTGATAGAAGTGGTGTATATGATTCCAGACTGATCACAGTAACGAGTCTTCAACAGCTCTTCCAGTTCTTTAAGACATTCTTCTTGAGATGAGGCCTTTGTTCGCACCTGTGAGTTAATGATTATGGCTTTAAAGCATGTGTATTTTTACATATAACATATCTGTAAATATGAATTAAGACTATAAATTGCATATAAACTTTCAAATACTTTAAAACCGCACAATATCTTGCAGTTAATTTGTATCCTATTCCAAAATAAATCACATATGACTCATACGTCATATCAGTATAAATTAAATATTTAAATTGTAGACACCTGTATGTTTTGTACTTTAAGACTTCCTCCACATCCTATAGCCAGTCTGACTAACTTTTGAATCCAAGGTATGTTTATGTATTTATGTAGAAAGTACGCAATGATAATAATCATGTACACTGTTCAAGCAGTTTTTCCCCTTTCATTTATATAACACAATTGAAATCAAAGAAAAATCAGACTGCAATTACAAGTAAAAACACACGACTTCTAAATATAATTCCAATAAAGGCTGAATTTCCAGAACAGCTGTGTCAAATCACAAGAATTCTTTGGAGAGGACAGGGTGGAATAGCAGCTAATGCAGTAAGTATAAAGAAGAAACTTAAAATCACACCTTATGCAGGCTAGGAAAGAGAACTAATCTTAATTAGGAACAATTAACCATACAATAAATAGCAGATGCATATTAAGATACCACTGTTCTAGAATATATAATTCTCTGCACTCTAAATAACTTTATCAACCTCATTTAACCTATTCAGTGTTCTCGTCTGAATATTTAACATCAGAGAGGAAAACTAAATCCTTAACACCAACATATTCTCATTCACGTGTTACATGAGAACAACTTCTGTAATCAGAAATTAGCATATTACAGTTTTCTTATTCATTAAAATAAACATTCCACACCTCATAGTAGAGATTTGGCCTGTTAAAGGATGCTTTCAATACTAGACAGCCCTGAATGCGTAACATCTTCTGAACATCTATTGTGATTTTGGAAGTAGCAGTAGCAGTGAGTCCTAGAACAGGTACATCTGGAAACATCCCTTTCAGTACACCAAGGAACTTGTAGTCTGGAAGGGAGACAATGTACGTGAGATTACGGTTTCTAACTAAATTATATTACATCACATTTTTAACAGGTAATTATATACTTCCAATTAATTACAAGAGATCAGTGACAAACTTAATTTGAAAATTTGTTAATTTATTTACTCCAACTTCCTCCCAGTTCCCTTAAATTTGTGAACATTTTAACCTCGCCAAAACTGGAGTTCAAATCCTGACATCTCCAAAACTGTTCAAAGTTACATACCAAATAAATTTAACAAAAATCAAATACTTCTTAATGTACGTATATGAAAATTGAAATTGTATGTATGTGCATCTGTACGTTCATTTAGGGCATAAGGGATACACCAATTTGCACCATACTTGGCATCCTTATGCCCTGAAACCAAAAGGAGATTTCAGAAAAGTCAAAACTCCAAAAATACTGTCCTGGGTTCAGATTCCAGTGAGGATGGCTTCTAAAAGTTAGAAAGTATGCACAACAGAAGATCAGCAACATGACCAGTTATTTCAGGAGTGAAGCCACAACCCCAAAAAGTGACAACACTGCTGAATTGGAAGACACCTAGGCTCTAGAACAAATAAAACTGTTAGGCCAACAACTTCTTGGAAAACCTAGGCATAAATGTGAGTGCAAGTTAAGACAGATCTTCAAAAAACGGTGTGAAGGTGTAGACTGGATTAAACTATTGTCAAGTGGCAGACTCTTGTAACACGAACCTTCAGGTTCTATAAAGGGCTAGGAAATTTCCTCACCACGTGAGAAACTACTGGCTCCTAAAAGATGAAATATCCTCACTGCTGCAAAGCCAGAGCAGAAAATCGGATCTGACCCCTGATTCTTACATGTGAACATAAGTAAATTGGATAAACATGAAAAATTACAAACCTGGGCGAAAATCATGACCCCACTGGGAACAACAATGGACTTCATCAATAGCAATGAGAGACAGACGGCCAAGTCCATACATTTTCTGCACCTTTGTCATGAAACGCTTACTTTTGGCCAGCTTTTCAGGTGTTACATACAGCAGCTTTAGTTTAGCATTCTTGTTCAACATGGCCTATAATAAAAATCTTACAATATATAAATAACATGAATGTCAAGTTTGCCTGCAAGAAGACTTGCAATCTCCAATACCCGAGTCATCAACACGCACACACTCATGGACACACACGTGCAAGTGCGTGCACGCACACTGGAATTTTGTAAATATAGCATTTTGCAGGTTTCAAGAACATGGCCCTTATTTTGGAAGGAGAACACAAATTACAAGAGCCTGGAAAAAAAATGTTCAGGAATATTTGGCTTTAACACATTTACTGTCAGGCATTTAAATTCAGGATTCCTTCAACTGAAAGGGTTTAAAACCCTCAACTGAGGTTTTGTAATGTATGAAGAATCGTATTTCACAAATTTTGGAACAGAAAAGATAACTTTCATTACAATTAGTACACTCTGAGGATGTTATATTGTACACAACAGCCTTCAGAGTGCAGAGGAGTCCCAAAATATCTGCAATTACTTACTCTCATAGTGCTCCTAATTTTTGCCACTAACATGTCTGTACCTTTATGGAACACAAAATGGTCTTTGCTGCCTCCATCAATCACATTGATCATGGAGGCAGCAAGGACCTCTGAAATACTGATAAACTTCGATGAGACCACATGGCATTATAACAGAGAAGACAGCCACCTTCATACTCATTGCCATGAAAATCTCAAAACTGACATAAGTTGACACTGGCATCATTAAAGTTGTCAGATTTGGGGTCACAGCAGTGAGTATGAAGATTTCTGTCTTCTGGGTTGTTGCGCTGTGTAGACTGGTCGATGTTAACCAACGTTTCAGAGGTCATACTGCCTCCGTCATCAGGGCGATGAATAAGCCAATAGGGTGTTTGGGGCTAGGTTTATAGGTGCCGGAATGTGAATGGTGTAGCCTGCACCCATTGGCTTGGGGCAGGCTACACCATTCACATTCCCGCACCTATAAACCTAGCCCCAAACACCCTATTGGCTTATTCATCGCCCTGATGACGGAGGCAGTATGACCTCTGAAACGTTGGTTAACATCGACCAGTCTACACAGCGCAACAACCCAGAAGACAGAAATCTTCATTATCAAAGTCGATCATCTAAACAACATAAGATCACTTTCACAGTGAATGTGTAGATGGAAGGAAATTTTGGAATCCCTGTGACAACAGAATATTATTATGGGCTGAACATGTGGCTTTGACTGAATAAGACAAATACATTCAGAACTATTGATGAAGAAGCCTCTAGAACATCAGCCACACGTATAACTGGAGATGAAAGGGTAATATTAAGATATATCTTAGGGAAGTACAAACAAAGTGTGGTGATATACTTAGCTGAAATTTGTGTGCAACTGTGATCTTTAGTATTACCATTATTGAAACTTGAGGTTTGGTTTCCAGAAAGTAAGTTTGATAGTTATGATGTCAGTAAAGATAACGCCACTACCAAGTTTGTTCCATTCTAAAATTTATAGAAACTGCATACATCTTGGATAGAGTTCACCTCTTCCTTATTGCTTGCAGCACTAAACATGGCTGCAGGCACATTAAGTGCTTTAAGCGCCAACAGCTGATCTTCCATCAGGGAAACCAAAGGGGATATTACCAAGGTGACACCTGTTAAAAAGGGAATAATTTTGTTTTTAGTATTTAACAACTTTTACAATTACATCTGCTAATAAACCCTTTTTCATACATGGGTACTCCGTAAACTTCACAGATACCATGCTTTTCCAACAAATAAGCACCCACTCCAAACTGTCTACAAAAATTTCACACTTAACATTATTTATGCAATAAATACTTTCTAAAACTTCCCCTCACTCAAGTTTGTTTACACCAACTCTCATTTTATCTGCAATGTTGTATAGTATGCCAACAGATTCCTAAATACAAAGGTGAAATGTGAAGATCTAAGTGAACTAAATGTAGTAACATCAGTAACCATAAACACCTTTTTACATGACACCCATACTACATAAACTACAAGCAAAAATTGTGCAACCCAAATAAGTGGTAAATTATAAGTCTGGTAATTTCAAAGTAAAAATTCTGCATGATACTACATCAATATATCTCACAGTATTTAACTGTTTGAATTTTACAGCAGATTTGAAACTATGTTGTCACTACAACTCCTTCCACTACCACTATTTGAGTTTAATATCTTGCCTTCCCCTACCACTCTCATCTTCCCTCTTCTCTCTTGCATGCCAGAGACCATCACAGAATAAGATGATAATGTAACTTGCCTCTGAATATGGGGCAATTACTCTAGTGACTACATCAAAATCATGTGACACTGAAACTGACTTTACATTTCAGATATGGAAATATGTTATACATGAATAAACATATAAATGTAGAAAAACGAAACAAGTTCTTTTGGCTCACTTGTACATTACCACTTTTAACAAGAGCTGGAAGCTGATAGCAGAGACTTTTTCCACCTCCTGTAGGCATTATAAGAATAACATCTTCGTTGGACAAAACTGCATTGATTGTTTCATGCTGTAATGGGCGAAACCCATCCAATTTGAAGACTGAATTCAGCACCTCTGTCACTTTGCCAGACCATGGGAAATCTGAAGAATATATGGAAGTAGATAAAAATTTGTATATAAAACAGCATATCTATATGTGGTCATAAGTAAAACAGCAGAACAGTTCTGCTAGATTCAATGCAGGTTGTTTAGGGGAGGGAGGGTATAGCTCCTACTCATTATTGATCTCAGCACTAGATGGGGGTAAGTGGTCATCATCACGCTCCAGCCACACTTTACCCTGGGAAAAGACCCTGATACCCATAGGATAGGAGGCTGGGTGGGTCCCAGAGCCAGTCTGGACGCCGGGGATCGAACTCCAGTCGTCCAGCCATTAGCTAGTCATTGTAATGACTGAGCCATCCTGGCTAATATAATCATATGTACACAATGGTATTAAAAATAAACTGCTCCTTAATTAAGACCTGCATTTATATAATGATTATTAGCAAACTTACAGCACATTACATAAAACCATGATGACCCTTGCAAGTATACATAAAACATACATTTTCAGAAACTATGCAACCTGGACACATGCTAATGAGACTTGTGTAATACTGAAAAACTGTTCCATGAATCAAAATAATGGACATACCAGTACTTGACCAATCACGGCTGGTGAGTACATGATTCTGTTTTAGTAAAATTGAATCTTTCAGCTTTCCTATTCTTTCCAGAAGCAGTTTTCTTCTATCACTCAAATTGTGCAACTGGACCTCAACTTCACACAACTCGTGCTCAGCTCTAGCCAGCTCCTCTTTTTCTGCAGTGAATAAATACACATAAACACGTGTTCCAAATTCTTAAATATAAATTTGTATTTATTGTTATAGTCTTCCTCAAATAAACTTCTTTTCTCATGAAAGAGAAGTTACCTTTGTACTCTTGGCCTTTTCCATTTTCCATCCTACCCGCCCTGCAACTACTGTACTTAAAATTAAAACCGTTAGAAACCAAGGAAAATACACTTATTGCATCTGGAACCTGTCAGAAACATTAAATTCGTAGTCTTCAAACAACATTAAAATACCAAGCGCCTCATATTTCGGGCCCCGCAAGGTTAACATCACGAGCACAGACAACTCAAGACATTAATCTCGCAAGTTGGTTTCAATGTTTTCCTCTAACCAGAAAAGCTACCAACGTGATGTCACTTTTGAACACAGATTAAACCAGACACGCAATGCTATTGGAAGGTAATGTAACCTCTTGGATGTTGTATTCGTCCCTGTGAGCGATTCATACTACTGATAACGATAACGCGACAGTGACACAGTCGGTAAAAAAGTTAACTACTCTTCAACACCCCTACCTTTTATTATTTTTTTATTAAGTGTTCTGTCTTACGACAGGTCCATTGCTCTGCCCAAAAAGAGCTCTCCAGTTTTCCCTATTCTCGGCTTCTCGTTTTAATTCCTGGAACATCATCTTCTTTCCTTGTTTAAGATCGTCGGTTAGCTGTATCAATCTTCTTCCTAGTCCTCTCTTTCCTTCAACCTGGCCTTCGGTGATATCACTCAGTAATCCATTCCTTCTCATAATATGTCCCAGCCAGTTAGCTTTCCTTCGTGTAATCGCCTGCAGAATGTTTCTTTGCTCGTTGACTCTCCTCAATACTTCTTCGTTAATGTTCATGAAGAAGTTCTTGTGAATCGTGCCAAGATGTCGCCACGTATGCTGTCAACTTGATCTAAATTATTTAAACATCGTGGTAAGAACTCATTGTGTGTGCAATGGTGGAGGTTGTTTTTATTAACTGTATGAAGAACTGCTCGGAATTTTAAAAAGAAAATGGCAGAAAATAAGAAAAGGACACTCAGTATAGAGTTAGGATACTTGGAAGAATGTGCTGCATGGAAATTAGAAAGTAGATTCTTTCCTAGTAAAGTAGGTGGGAAACCAGCATGGTTAGACCTGTGTCATCTACCAAATAGTATTCTCTGTGGTAATTGTAAAAAGCCGTGCATTTGTTTATGTCAGGTATATGCCCCATTCGAAGAATTTGATTCTTGTTTTCATAGAACAATATTTGTATTCATCTGTAAAGATCCAGCATGTTGCAGATATAATGACAATAAAAATTTCATAGTGTACAGATGTCAGTTAAATAGAATAAACGAATTTTATTCCTTTGAACCACCCATTGAAGAAGAAAATTCGCAACCAGGTACAAAACATGAGCTGTGTAAAACATGTTGTGTCTGTGGTG